ATATTCTGTCCAGTCACGCTTCCATACTTTTTTATTTCCCAAGATTCGCCAGCTGGGGGCTGGTTCGTCAATTGTGTAATTCTTGGAAATGATGACGGCTGGTGTTGAAAGAGATTTTGCCATTTCTTCTATGTGAGATTTTATTTCACATGCTAGAGTACTTTGGGAGTCCGCTAACTCATTCTTGAGTGTGGAAATTATTGCAGGTAGTTGGTTAATTGAGTGCGTTGTTGTTGTTGTTATTGCCGCTACTGCTGCTGTTGCCGCTGATTTGGCTGCCGCTTTTACAGCTGTGCAGGTGTCCGCCGAAGGTGTGTCCAGAATTGATGAAATTGCATTTTTCATTTCAACCGCAATAAGTTTGTTGCTGCTGGTGACGGTCGACATGCTACGCTTAATATTGTCAAGCATTTCTTCAATGTGTTCAAGCACTGCGTCATGCGTCGCACTGAGGTTTTTGAAGTTAGTAAGCAATTTGTGATTTGCTTCCAAAGTATTGCCAATGTTTTCTTTGATGCCATTCAATGTTGTAGACAGTTCCTTCAGATTAAGTTACTTTATGAACTTATCCTGGCAGTCTTGGCACAAAGGCAGCATGAAGGTCCGAAGAATGTCTTCATGATTTCGCTGTGCACCAACACAACCTGCGTGAAAGGTCCGGTTGCAGGTGCCATGGCAGCGCCATAGAAAGCGATTGTCTTTTTGCACGCAATTCACTATTCCGCACTTCATTGCACTCGCGTCGGATGATAAAAAAAACGTTTAAAATAAAATAAACACGGAGTTCGCGCGGGTCAGTTTTTAAAATATGATAAAAAATTGTTGGATATTTAAAAGTATATACAAGAGCGCTGCTAAAGCGCGTCCGAACGCAAAGGTGGTTCGTTATTGTTGCTGCTTGTTTATCACATTCTAGACATGCTGGCGGTGTCGGTATTTATGTCAAAGAATCAGTTCAATTCGACCTTAGCATAGAAATTATCGATGGTAACTAGTTCTTGGGGATTACAGTTGTACGTGGCATGAAGATGGGTAATTATAGTGTTTTGTATCATTCTCCCAGTTCTAGTGACCAGCATTTTGTTGAAGTTTCAGAGAACTGGCACGAGACATTCCTTGACTCTAGTAAATTAAATATATAAGTAATTTTAATATTAATTGGCGTGACAATTATAATTCGAATTATTTGAACCATCTAGATGATTTTGTTTCAATTTAAAGCAAACGGTAGATGAATCTACGCGTATTTCCAAGCACAGTAGTATCTTAACTGACCAGTTTTTTTTTTCAATTTTCATTCTAATACTGATTTTAAAATAACCTAGTCTAATGTCAGGTCATTATTTGGCTGAACGTCAAGCAGTACAGTTTGGTTTTTGCTCGCTCTGTTGAATTATACGGAAGTTTCTAATTTGTTCCAAACATTCGCAGTTTAATCATAGAGGTAACTCTAGGACTAGAAAATCCATCCACGAACCCCTCATTTTATCTGTCAAACTTTAATTAAAAATGGCGTAATACAGTCAGGAATCCTTATTGCCGGGGTAACGGGGGCGTGAATAAGGAACCGCGAATAAGGATACCCACAGCTTATGGGATTTTCACTAATGGGGGCTGTAGTGGATTATCTCATTTGTTTCAATACATAAAGCTATACTGTCTTCGACAAAGTTGCTGTACTGGGTTAGACCAACAAGCCTGTGCCATTGGATTCAGGTTAAATTGGGAACTACGCCGCTAGAGGCGCTTCACTTTTATGTTACTTATGACGGGCGCTATAATATATGGATCATATTTCCAACATAGAATATTTCGTGATCCTGACCATATAGAAAGTTACTGTCTTCAGCAAAGTTGTTCAGGTGACCAAGTCCTTTCGGATGGTGGCCATATTAGTTCAGAACTCTCTCACTACGCAGCGCTAGTGTGCATGTGAAATTCCTATATAAACTGTATCTCGAGAGCCTGGCCATATAAAAAGTTGCTGTTTTCAGCAAAGTTGTGCAGGTGATCAAGTCCTTTTGGATGGTGGCCATATTAGTTCAGAACTCTCTCACTACGCAGCGCTAGTGTGCATGTGCAATTCCTATATAAACTGTATCTCGAGAGCCTGGCCATATAGAAAGTTGCTGTTTTAAGCAAAGTTGTGCAGGTGATCAAGTTCTTTTGAATAGTGGGCTTATTAGTTCAGAACTCTCTCACTACGCAGCGCTAGTGTGCATGTGCAATTCCTATATAAACTGTATCTCGAGAGCCTGGCCATACAGAAAGTTGCTGTTTTCAGCAAAGTTGTGCAGGTGATCAAGTCCTTTTGAATGGTGGCCTTATTAGTTCAGAACTCTCTCACTACGAGGCGCTAGTGTGCAAGTGAATTTCCTGTATAAGCTGTATCTCGAGCACCTGGCCATATAGAAGGTTACTGTTTTGAGCAAAGTTGTTCAGGTGACTAAGTCCTTTCGGATGATGGTCATGTTATTTCAGAACTCTCACACTACGCGGCGCTAGTGTGCACATGAACTTCCTTAATATGTTATGACTCCAAAAATTGTCCATATAAGATGTTGCTGTGCAATGTGAGAACAAGAACCGGAAATCGATGTCAGATGCCATTTTGGCATCCAAGATGGCGGCCATCGGTTCAAGAAAAACTGTCAAATACCGTACAATATGGATATTTTTGGAAAGGGGATGACGTGTAGAGGCCGGAAATCGTTGCCAGACGTCATTTTGGAATCCAAGATGGCGGTCATCGGGTCAAGAAAAACTGTCAAATACCCTATAATACGGGTATTTCCGGACGTGTAGAGGCCGGAAACCGATACCAGACGCCATTTTAAAAACCAAGATGGCGGCCATCGGTTTTAAGAAAAACTGTCAAATATAGTGGGAATGTGGGAATTTCCGAAAAGAAACGACGTGTAAAGGTCAGATATACATTCCAGACGCTATTTTGGAATCCAATATGGCGGCAACATGTTTTCCATAAATAAGGCTTACCAAGCATATTGCGTATAATTTATTGTGTATAGCGTATCATTGAGCAAGATCGCAACATAACGTGGAAAATTCCGCAAAACAATAAAATGCTTTGATTTGTTTTGTTTTTTCTATCGTAAGCTACAGATTTATTCCACATTTTATTTTCTCTTTCGATAACAAAGAACCAACCAGCGCTGTCATGTTTTATGCATTCTACTCACTCTCGGTCTTTCACACCGTGAGATGGGTCTCGACTTCCTTTAGCAAATCGTGCATTTTTGCACTCCGTTCAACATTGCTGTCCAATGTGCAGAAACTTTCGACCTCGGATAGTTGATTTAGTTTTAACTCGATTTCTGCCGCACCAGGTGGTGGATGAAAATATTAACCATATTCACTGTAGAGGGGTCCAGGAATAAATCTGTAGTTTACGATAGAAAAAACAAAACAATTAAAAGCGTTTTATTGTTTTGACGAATTTTCCACGTTATGTTGCGATCTTGCTCAGTGATACGCTATACACAATAAATTATACGCAATATTCTTGGTAAGCCTTATATATGGAAAACATGTTTTTTTTAACTAGTTCGTATATTTGGAAGGCTCAATGACGTTAGCTTTACGGAGCCGATAGTTCATTGTTCTTTGTTTGTAACAACATTCACTTAATTCTATGTCTAGTAGGAGTTGGGCCGAATACTCGCGGCTTACTCGAGGTAAGAGAGGTACATTGTCGAAGGATAGGATCAGGGGAGGAGCTTGGGGGCAAGGTTTCGTTGTCTCATCAGAGATTTGTCACCAGTATGAACGGTAGTGCGGTTCTAGTTTCGTCTGGAGTTCGATCGGCTATAATGACCATGGAAAACATGTTGCCGCCATATTGGATTCCAAAATAGCGTCTGGGATCTATATCTGGCCTTTACACGTCGTCCATTTTCGGAAATTCCCACATTGTAGTATATTTGACAGTTTTTCTTGACACGATGGTCGCCATATTGGATTCCAAAATGGCGTCTGGCATCGATTTCTGGCCTCTACACGTCGTTCCCTCTCTGGAAATACCCGTATTATAGGGTATTTGACAGTTTTTCTTGAACCTATGGTCGCCATCTTGGATTCCAAAATGACGTCTGGCATCGATTTCCGGCCTCTACACGTCATCTCCTATTCGAGAATACCCATGTTGTTGGGTATTTGACAGTTTTTCTTGAACCGATGGCCGCCATCTTGGATGCCAAAATGGCATCTGACATCGATTTCCGGCCTCTACACGTCATCCCTTTTCCGGTTCCTGTTCTAACATTACACAGCAACATCTTATATGGACAAGCTTTGGAGACATTACATATTAAGGAAGTTCATGTGTACACTAGCGCCGCGTAGTGTGAGAGTTCTGAAATAATATGACGATCATCCGAAAGGACTTAGTCATCTGAAAATTTTTGCTGAAGACAGTAACCTTCTATATGGCCAGGTTCTCGAGATACAGCTTATACAGGAAATTCACTTGCACACTAGTGCCGCGTAGTGAGCGTGTTCTGAACTAATATGACCTTCATCCGAATGGACTTGATCACCTGCACAACTTTGCTGAAAACAGCAACTTTCTATATGGCCAGGCGCTAGAGATACAGTTTATATAGGAACTGCACATGCACACTAGCGCTGCGTAGTGAGAGAGTTCTGAACTAATATGGCCACCACCCGAAAGGACTTGGTCACCTGAAAAACTTTGCTGAAGACAGTAACTTTCTATATGGCCAGGATCACGAAATATTCTATGTTGGAAATATGATCCATATATTATAGCGCCTGTCATAAGTAGCATAAAAGTGAAGCGCCTCTAGCGGCGTAGTTCCCAATTTAACCTGAATCTAATGGCACAAGCTTGTTGGTCTAACCCAGTACAGCAACTTTGTCGAAGACAGTATAGCTTTATGTATTGAAACAAATGAGATTATCCACTACAGCCCCCATTACTGAAAATCCCATAAGCTGTGGGTATCCTTATTCGCGGATAGCCCGGTAATAAGGATTCGGCAATAAGGGATACCGGCAATAAGGAATCCGGCAATAAGGATTCCTGACTGTACATCAATTTCCGGTCCGTACACATCACTTCGATTCCATAAATACCCATATTGTGGGGGTAATTGGCAGTATTTCCCAGTTTTTTTTCTAACCGGAAGCCACCATCTTGGATTTCAAAAAAGTTTAAGACATCGATTTTCGGAAGTCACTCCGATTACAGTAAAACCCCATATAGTGGGGCATTTTAAAGTATTTCCCAGTTTTTCTGTAACCAGAAGCCACCATACTGTATTTCAAAAAGGAGTCAGAAATCGATTTCCAGTCTCTTTACGTTACCCTGATTCCAAAAATACTCATATATTATGAAATTTGACATTATTTCTCAGTTTTTCTGTAACCGAAAGCCACCATATAGGATTTTAAAATGGCAGAATGAGTCGATTTCCGGTCTCTTCACGTCACCCCGATTTCATACATACCTACATATATTGTGGGGTATTTGACAGTATTTCCCAGTTTTGCTGTAACCGTAAGCCGCCATCTTGGATTTTGAAATCGATGTATTGATTTCGGGTCCCTACACATCCCATCTTATACTTAAGAATGGCGTCAGATATCGATTTTCAGTCTCTACACATCACTCCGATTCCAAAAACTAACCATATTGTGAGGTATTTGACAGTATTTCTAAGTTTTTCTGTAAACGAAAGATGGCGATCTTGAGTTTAAAAATTGCACCAGACATCGATTTCCAGTTCCTACACGTCGCTCCAATTTAAAAAAAACTCATATTTTGGGGTTTTTGACAGTATTTCTCAGTTTTTCTGTAACCGGAAGCCGCCATTCTGGATTTCAAAATGGTGCAAGATATCGATTTTCTGACGTCACCCGATGTATGTATGTATGTAAGGTAGCCACCATCCCTTCAAAGATCTTGTCTTGTATGCAGCTCCACTTAATAGCAAGATCAATTTGAGCTACCGATCTGAATTCACAATATCGCTGTATGAAGGGCCAAAACGGAGGGGCGGACCCGTAAGTAGAGACACTTACGCGAAGTCCACGGAAATTTAAGAATCTCCTTCCAACGATACGATCCAACAAATCGAATAACGCAATTCGCAATACTTATTAAGCTTCCTACAGGATGGTTTGTTAAGAAGGGCGCGTCAATCTCACTGAAATTGTTGAAGTAGAATTCACACCACCACAATCGAATCGGTAGGATAAAGAAAATGATAGTGTTTACTCCCTCCTAGACTCCGGTTGTCATACCACTCCATCGTCCAGTTCCAGGTCAAATGATACCCTGATGCTCCCTCCAAACCCAGTATTTATTTATATGAAGTAAATATATGTAATGTAGAAAATACATTTATGCGGATAAAATAGCTGATATTCTGCAATGCAACTAATACATATTTTACATATAATAAGACAGGTACAGCTTTATGTCTCCTCAGCTCACAGCATCAGGTGGATGTAACACTGAAATATCAATGTTATATTAAGCAAATACACATTTTTAGCTCGAATCATTCTCAGTACTCTCCTTACAATAATGAAAAAAGTGTAATGTTTAACTAACAAAACAAAAAATAAAAAAACGAATCTCATCTAAATGATGTCATGCATGACGAGAAATAACCTGTATAATAAATATTTTGCATATAATGTTATGCATTACTGTTGCTTCCTCTGCTTCATCAGCTTAATTTTAATTTCGATGGGAAATGCGATACAACATAAATTTATGTTTCAGATATGATTGGGATTTTTTTTTTCTGAATGGATGGATTATTCTTGTTAAATGTAAAAGTAAACAAATGTAATGTGTATAAAATATAAAGTGAAATACAATATATGATAATAAATAAGTATGACAATTTAAAAACCTATTTTTTTTGTGATTCATCTTCCCATAACTCATTATATTTTAATGGTACATATGCATAAAAATTATACATGTGCCATAGATTGATACTGTGCCGTAACGTAACTATGTGTAACGTATGAATATTTGAAGTAATGAATGGAAAAAAAGAAAAAAACTAGGTTATCTATGATTGTAAATATTGAACACTTTACAAAAGTATAGATATATGTAGTTAATCTGTAATGCAATGGTTATATTAAAGAATAATTGAAATTATCTCTAATGATGTACTGCGTTTTTTCAGCTGTCTGTTAATATGTAAGCAACTATTTAATTAGTAAATTCTGTACTAATATAAATTCATGTAATGTATAAGATATTAAATTATAATAATATGTATTCTTGAATTAATTGGACTATCAGACAGGCTGTATGCTACAAAAGAATTTAATAAGAGTGTTATACTAATTATATTAAAACGTTGCGTGAATATTGCTCGATTGATGCCCATGAAAATCATATTAAAATTTGATCTTTTAAATATTGATGATCTGAAACAAAAAATAATTATAATTCTGTTTGAAAACATAATAATATGAAGTATAAAATAAAATTAATTGATGTAATACTACATGCAGTAAAATATCAATCCTTGAAAATACATTACACGAAGACTGTATATTTACTTCCAAGATCCTGGTGGATAAAAAATAACATAATGATATAAAATGTATAATATAAAGGAAGAAATTAATATCACAAAATAGTATGTTCAGCGTCAGGCCTCCACCGATAAGCATGAATATAATCCCATTCCAGAGACGTCAGTTATGACCTGAGAAATATTGACCGCTTCTTCTAAAAACAAGTACTGTAATAAAACAATAAAAAATTGTAACAATTGAGCCAGAAAAATAAACCAATTTAAAAAAAAAAAATATTGGTATCAATAAAGAGAAGTACAAGCATGTCTAAAACAAATGTAATAAATGATAAAAACTACTTTATATGAACATACATTGGTGGCCCTTAAATCAGCACAACAAGCTGACTCTCATACAAACCAAAATACGAAAATCGGCCCATTGTGCCAATCCAATAATAACACAATACATCAAATGTGACAAACAGGTGGTAAACTTTATGCAAACGTCAAACTTTAAAATACCTAAAAAAAAAATTACAGGAAAAATAAATGTGAGTTTTTTTTTATCTTATGATTAACTATGTTGTTTTCCATTCACCTAAGCTAATTTCTATGGATGATGATGATGACATGGAACTACCACTCACTGTAGCAAGATAACTGACGACAGACTGTGGACCATCCTCACTGCTCGACCTGATCAAGTCCAACAACCTCCAATTGCACTCCACCCGCCACTACATGAAAGGCCAAAAACGATTTGGGTGAATCCGTGGGCAACATCGCCCACGCGCATCCATGGGACAAACGATAATCTCCCTCCAACAACAGGATCACACAACCGGCCATAAAACAGGCCTTCCAACAAAGGGACGTGAGTGGAGAGAAGAGCCCGCCCTCCCCTCACGAAACGCCACAAACAGGGAGTCGGCACCACCACTCCCCCACCCACCTCGCCTCAATCGGGTGCCCTGGTGAACCCTACCGTACCCGGTATATAATGTTTCATATAATAATGGAATGAATGTTAAGAGAAAAATAAAGGAAAGATCTCACCCGATATGTTGCAAAAGGATCCATTACATCACGATGTTTTCGAAGAGCTCCCATAGATATGCTGCCGCTACTTCTTCAACCGGTATTAAAAACAGCACTCTCGCCTTTCCTTCCTCACACAGCAGCGGAAACCCTCAAAAACTCCGAAACTCACACTAGCTGCTCCAACTGGAGGGATCTCAGCAGAGAAAAAATAGACTGCATCCACTTTCCATCACCAATCACTCGCGACACAATGGCTTTAGTTCGCCAGCAGTCTGTGAAACGCAGCGCCAGCACCTCACCGGCAGAATAAACTCGCGAGTGACCGAAACAAACGCCATGGCACCCTTCGATTGTATTACTGAAACACAACCTCAACACACAAACACGATGACGACAAAGCAAGCGCCTTTCGTCCGGGAGGCGGAACGCCAGCACACAGCAAGCGAAGGAGAGAAGAAAAAAAAAAATGCAAAGACAGCTCGAGTTGAACGCTAACGTTGACAGACAAACGCGAACTCATCGATTTTCTGACGTCACCCGATGCTTAAAAAATATCCATAGTGTGGTATATTTCACAGTATTTCCCAGTGATTGTACGACTTTTCCCCGAAAACCAGTCCCCCGAAAACACTTTCCCCGAAAGTTATTGCCCCGAATGTAACTTTTCCCCGAAATACAATTCCCCGAAATACAATTCCCCGAAATACAATACAAATACAATCCCCCGAATGGCACAGTTCCCAGAAAATAATTTCCCCGGATGTACCATTTCCCCGAATCTGCGCATCTTTGCTGGTTAACTACTTGTATCGAACAATACCACAGTAAACATATTAATGTGCGTCGAATAAAGACAATAGTTTGACTTTCGTTAAAACAAAATGTAAAGGTCAAGCTCCTGAAATTGGTGTACACTGAAACCTCCGTTTACGAAGTCTTTTTTTACGCAGTATTCAATTTACGTCCCTCTTTTTACGAAGTAAATCCCAAATAACGAGGTTTTTTTTTACGAAGTAAATCCCAAATAACGAGTTTTCTTTTTACGAAGTAAATTCCAAATAACGAGTTTTTTTTGTGATTTTGGGAAACTGGGATATACTGTGAAATACCTCACAATATGGGTATTGTTGGAATCGGAGTGACGTGTAGGGACCGGAAATCGATGTCTGACGCCATTTTAAAATCTAAGATGGCGGCTTCCGGTTACAGGAAAACTTGGTCATTCTGCCAAATACCCCCACAATATGGGTATTTTTGGAATCGGAGTGATGTGTAGGGACCGGAAATCAATGTCTGACGCCATTTTGAAATCCAAGATGGCGACTTCCGGTTACAGGAAAACTTGGTCATTCTGCCAAATACCCCCACAATATGGGTATTTTTGGAATCGGAGTGACGTGTAGGGACCGAAAATCAATGTCTGACACCATTTTGAAATCAAAGATGGCGACTTCCGGTCGAGGGGCGATTCACTTGTGTATTTTTGATACAGG